AGGCTGGAAGCTCAGAGACGCCAGCTACGACGTGTGTTCTTTTTGATAAGCCACGTGCCGTGAACACAGACACGAGGCATCCATCGGGAGGAAAGCCAGCAGCGTGGGGAAAGCATCGAACGCGGTCGGCAGGTCCGCAGTTCCCTCTACGGTGTGGCGCGATTGCAGGATGACTAGGAGTTGGGAGTGGACGACCCTGAAAACAGAGGGGAATATCTAGGGAGGAGTGGTTTCGTAAGGAGGGAAGATGCCTAGGTATTCTGATTCTTTGCATTCTGGTTAGTGATTCATTTGGAACAAACCTTCACAAAACCTGTGTTTGAAAACGATGAACCCACCGGCTGGTGTGGCTCCGTGGTTGAGCATCAACCCACGAACCAAGAGGTCACCGGTTCGATTCCCCATCAGGGCACATGTCCAGGCTGCGGGTTCGATCCCCAGTGTGGGGCGTGCAGGAGGCAGCCGATCGGTGATTCTCATCACTGATGTTTCTATCTCTTTCTCCCTCTCCCTGCCTCTCTGAAGTCAATAAGAATATATTTTAAAGGTCAAAATAATAGCATCTGCGTGGCTAGAACGCTTTTATAGTCGTGGTTTTTGTCCTATCATCACGCCATCTGCTTGCATCATTGCATTTCTAGTCTTCAGACACCCACGGCAGCCCGCCCTCCTTCAATCCTCATGACCACCTTTGAGGTTCCTTGTATCGTCTACAGAGAGATGCTCAGGGGCAGCTGGTCACCCGCCTGGCGAGGACCTGTCCCTAGCTGCTGGCCCTCAGTTCTGCCGGCCCCCTCCCCACCCCACCCTACCCCCAGGCCCACCTCCCTCGGCTCTCCTGCCCTCGCTGAGGCCTCTGGGTCCTTTGCCGCCTCCGCCCACACCCCCCACACTTTCTTCCCTGACTGGGTTACTGTGACAGGATCCGCCAGCCTGGAAACTCCTCTTGGAAAGTTGCTATGGAAACCCCCTGCGGGGATGCTCCGTGGGCTGCAGTGTGACTCCGCCCTGGCTGATGCTGGCGGCGCCAGGAGCTCTCAGCCAAGCCCCCCTGCCTCTCTCAGGAGACATGTGCCCCCCCAGAGGGCCGAGGAGAAAGCCACCTGCCCCTGGCTGTGTGACACTAGCATCGAAGCGAAAGAGGGTCTTTCAGGAAGAGCTCATGAAGCTGGGCCCGGGGTGGCCACCGGCCGGCCGGCCAGGGTGTCAGCGATGCCTCCTGGCCAAAGGTGGGCAGAGCCCAACTCGCCCGTGGAGTGCCACCAGGCCACACCCTCCAGAGCGGGCTGGTGTGCAGGTGGGAGGACCCGCCCCCAGCTGGGTTTTGGGTGATATCCTCCCACCTCTTGCGTCCCCTCAAAGCCTCCTGGTTCTAGCCCAGCCAGTGTGGCTCAGTGGGTGAACATCGGCCCATGAACCAGGAGGTGTCTCAGTTGGATTCCTGGTCAGGGCACATGCTGGTTGCAGGCCTAATCCCCAGTAGGGGGCGTGGAGGAGGTAGCCGATCAATGAGTCTCATCATTGATGTCTCTCTCTCTCTCCCTCTCCCTTCCTCTCTGAAATCAATAAAAATGTATTTAAAAAAAAAAAAGACCTCTAACTGGCCACAGCCAGGAGCCCTGCAGAGGGAGGGACGCAGAGGTATCCTCTGAACACGCAGCTCCACAGTGGGTTTCGAACCAGCAGCCACGAGGCCGCCCATGAGAACGTCACTGTCTGGGTGGGCGGGGCCCGTGGCTGCCAGCCGGGCACTGGGGGCACTGGGTCCCACAGTGTGGACAGAGGACTGGGTTTTCACGGCATCGCCCGTGCAGCGTTCTCTTTTCCTACAGCCCTGACATACCAGGCGCGCCGGTTAATCATGCGGGTTTTTCCCATCGATGGAGTTACACACATGTTGATAGATATGCGATTTGATATGTGTGCTATTTGTTGTATTGCTCCTTCAGATGGCCACTTGTTCCGATCGACGGCGCACGCACTTTCTGAGCGGCCCTTCACAACGTAGGAAGACGTGGAAAATTGGGTCTCTGAATGGTCGGCCTCAAAACCAGAAAAGTTCTATTGGGACGGTCTCCACAAATTCCCTGAAAGATGGGGAAATGTGTGGCTAGCGATGGACATTACTTGGAGTAAAGCACTTTTGATGTTTCTCTGGAAATTACCGTGTTTTCTTTGATGACAAAATCCGAATTTTTCACCGGTTGACAGTTAATCCGCATTAGTAACCGGGACACCTAGTCAATCCTGCTGAAGGGAGGGTTTCACGGAGGAGAAGTGACAGATGTGTCCTGTTCCCCGTGAGATGACAGAGAGCCCACAAATGTTCCCAAGAAGCATGAGCTGGGGAATGTCGGAGACATGGGAGGTAAGGGAGACCGGGAGCAAGTGCAGCTTCTGAAATGCCGTTTGCCCGAACACACACTGAGCACCCCCATGGGTGAGGTGTTGGGCCGGGGAGGGCCAGGCCTCGAGATGTTAGTAAGAGATAGTCCCCTGTTCCGTGGGCAATACAGTGCGGTTAGGGGACCGAGAGACCAGCAAATATAATACAGGGCAGAATGGTAAGAAATACTACAAGGCAGCTGTAAGCTATTTAATTCTCTTTTTAAAGGGAATTAAAAAGACCAAATAGAATATCCAATAATTATTTTACAGTTACATAAAGGTGCACTATATGCATAATGGAAATGCCAGAAGGGTAAGAAAGAGAAAAGCCACACAAAACATTTGAGGTCATGACTGCCACGTCCAAAATTAAACTCAGAAGACAAAGCCACAGACCCAGGGAGGCCAAAGAGCACCAAAAAAGTAAATAACTACCAAAAAATCTATCCCTCGGCGTATTGTATCCAAACTGCAGAAAATTGAACAATAGAGATCATCTTGAAAAGACGTCCAGAAAAAGAAAAAAAAACGACGACTTACTTATAGAGGAGCAAAGGAACGAATGACATTAGACATCTCCTCAGGAACCATGAGAGCAAGGAGAAAGTGGGGTAAACACTGACCATGTTGAAAGAGAAATCGTCAACCACGAATTCTGTACCCAGTGACATTACCCTTCAAAAACAGGGAGGGAGGGGGAATAAAGATTCTCAAACAAGGAATTTATAGCCCTGCCTTTAAAAAGTGCTGGAAGAGAGTCCTCAGAGAGAAGAAAATATTATCGGTGAGAAATTCTGAGCCACACTAAGAAAGGAGGCACATTAGAGGCGGAATAGATGAGGTAAAATAACTACTGGCTCCTTTCCTAGGAGCCAGCACTGGGCCTGGCTAGCCATCGTCCTGGCATCTTTGCTTCCTCGTCCAATGATATCTGTGCTTTATCTGCTTTCCCCTTCTTTCCTTGGGGTTACGCTCTTTTTAAATATATTTTTATTGATTTCAGAGAGGAAGGGAGAGGGATGAGAGATAAGAAACATCTATGATGAGAGAGAATCATGGATCGGCTGCCTCCTGCATGCTCCCTATTGGGGATCGAGCCCGCAACCTGGGCATGTGCCCTGACCGGGAACCGCACCATGACCTCCTGGTTCATGGGTCGGCGCTCAACCAGTGAGCCACGCTGGCCGGGCATACAGGACTTTTTACATTTCAGGTGGGTCTGTCAGCTTCCGGTAAACATACTTGGCATCTATTTTTAGGCCTCATCAGCTTAATGAAAGGAACGCTGAATGCTTCGCCGCCAATTACCGCGCTCAAGATAAATGCATGCATTTATTCACTCTGGGTAGTGACGATTAAGGGGGGTTCATCTCACCGCAGCCTCGCAGACATTTGAAAGACAAATGAACTGAGTGCAATGAAGAGCACCCCGCCCCAGCCCAGCCTGAGGAACACGCGGCTGCAGGTAGGGCTCGCTCGTCCTGCTAGCGTGAAATCGCTCCCCTGTTCCTCCCTGTGCATTGTGGGCATGAGATAAAGCACAAGCCAGACAGATGCCACTCAAAGACGGGGCCTGGCCCAGACGGCATGGCTCCGTGGCTGAGCATCGAGCTATGAACCAGGAGGTCACTGGTTCGATTCCCCGTCAGGGCACATGCCCGGGTTGCGGGCTCGATCCCCAGTAGGGGGCGTGCAGGAGGCGGCCGATCCATGATTCTCTCTCATCATTGGTATTTCTATCTCTCCCTCCCTCTCCCTTCCTCTCTGAAATAAATAAAAAATATATGTTTTTTAAAAAGATGTGTAGGTGTAATTACTGGTAAATGCTTTTTTCTTCTTTTGTTTTATGACTGTATTATAAAATATTTTATGACCAAAATATCAATTTTCAATGCTCACACAAATATAGGGTATCCCCAAAAAATGTGTATGCACATTTTGAAAATGCATTTTGTTTTCAAAATTGAACTATTCAGCTGTTAAAGTGTATATACATGTTTTAGGACACCCTGTATATGTATTTGTTAAATAGTATTTATTTATAAATTAAATAAGTTAGTACTTTTTAATTGCTTTTTAAAATTGATTTTAAAGAGAGGAAGGGGGAGAGAGAGAGAATCATGGATGTGAGAGAAAAACATCGATCAGTTGCCTCCCGCACACATCCTGACCAGGGCTGGGGATTGAACCCGCAATGTAGGTATGCGCCCTGACCAGGAATGGAATCCGCAAGCTTTCTTTCTTTTTTCTTTTCTTTTCTCTCTCTTTCTTTCTTTTCTTTCTTTTTTTTTTTTTTTTTTTTTTTTCCTGTAGAACAATGCTCCATCAACTGAGCCACCCGGCAGGGCTATAATTATTTTTTTAAAGTCACAGTCCCCACTTCAATTCTGCATTCATTTTACAATATTGTCCCTCATTGATGCCTCCATTAAAATAATGTGCTTTATATTTCCTACCACGGAACAGATTTTTATCGCCATCCAATAGCCCCAAGGCTTACTGGTAGACAGAGGTTATATGAAAAGGAGGGCAGGGAGGACTTAAAAGTATTTGCCAAAGCAAACACGTTCTGTGCTCAACAACTGTTTCTTATGCCACTCTTCATCTTCCAGGTGCCAGGTGCCGTCCTAGGAACCGGAAATACCGCATGAGCCAACCCGACCTGCTGCAGCTCTGGTGGGACTGATAGGGCTCCGCTGATGATGAAAGAAGCAAGGGAAGCATATGTGCCCGTGGAAGAAAAGAACCTGACACGGCAGGGAGAGAGGCAGGTGTTTGACTTCAGGTAGGATGTTCAGAGAAGACGTTTCTGGAAAGATATTTAAGCAGAGACTTGAAATCGTGCGAGAACCAGCCATGCACGCTGCCCTCTGAGTGCACTCTGAGCATTCGGAACAGCAAGTGCCGATGCCCCATGCGAATGCTAGGGTGGCCTGGAGACAGAAGAGCAGGGCCCCGGTGAACGGATCTGGGAGGATTGGGGGCTAGGGTCATGAAGGTGGCATGGGCTAGGGTCATGGTGGTGGTGGTGGTGGTGGCATGGGCTAGGGTCATGGTGGTGGTGGCAGCATGGGCTAGGGTCATGATGGTGATGGTGGCAGGGGCTGGGGTCATGATGGTGATGGTGGTGGTGGCATGGACTGGGGTCATGGTGGTGGTGGTGGCATGGACTGGGGTCATGGTGGTGGTGGTGGCATGGACTGGGGTCGTGGTGGTGGTGGCATAGGCTAGTGTCATGGTGGTGGTGGTGGCATGGGCTAGGGTCATGGTGGTGATGGTGGCAGGGGCTGGGGTCATGATGGTGATGGTGGTGGTGGCATGGACTGGGGTCATGGTGGTGGTGGTGGCATGGGCTAGGGTCATGGTGGTGATGGTGGTGGCATGGACTGGGGTCGTGGTGGTGGTGGCATAGGCTAGTGTCATGGTGGTGGTGGTGGCATGGGCTAGGGTCATGGTGGTGATGGTGGTGGTGGCATGGACTGAGGTCATGATGGTGATGGTTACGGCATGGGCTAGAGCCGTGGTTGGCAAACTGCAGCTCGTGAGCCACATGCGGCTGTTTGGCCCCTTGCGTGCGGCTCTTCCTAAGCCTTAGGAGTACCCTAATTAAGTTAATGACAATGTGCCTACCTACATAGTTTAAGTTTTAAAAATTTGGCTCTCAAAAGAAATTTCAATCGTTGTCCTGTTGATATTTGGCTCTGTTGACTGAGTTTGCCGACCATGGGCTAGGGTCATGATGGTGGTGGCATGGGCTAGGATCATGGTGGTGGCATGGGCACGTATTGTAGCAGGACAGTAATGACAAGGAATCAGATCTGAATATGCTTTGAAAGCTGAACCCTCAGGAATATACAAAACTTGCATGCAAACAGTTTGTAGAATAATTACCCATATCATCCTAACTGGAAGCCACCCAAATAACCTTCAGTGAGTGAATAAACAAAATGTGGTGTGGCCCAGCTGGCGTGGCTCAGTGGTTGAGCGTAGACATAGGAACCAGGAGGTCACCATGCGATACCCAGTCAGGGCACATAGCCGGGTTGCAGGCTCGATCCCCAGTAGGGGGCGTGCAGGAGGCAGCCAATCGATGATTCTCGAACATCATTGATGCTTCTATCTCTCCCTCCCCTCCTCTCTGAAATCAATAAAAATATATTTTTAAAGTCAAATAAAGTACTACATTTTATTAAACATACTGGTATATAATGCTTAAAAACCTTGCAAATGTCCTAAGCTTGGAGTAAAATAAGGATTGTCAAGAAGTCCATGAGGGTGGTATTATCTGCAATATTCTTTGCAAAGGGGGCGTGGTTACACCCAGAGAAGATGTGCGTGTGGGCAGAGAGCTGTGGGCAGTCGGTGGCATCAGCCAGGGAAACCACCCGAAGCGGTGGCGCGAGTATTAAGAGGGAAGCGAGAAAGGGGCGAAGGTCGGCGAGGCGGCTGGAGAGGCAGAAGGGCCAACTCTGGATGAGATGTGATGCGTCGGCCCGCAGCGGGGCTGGGAAACGGAGCCCAGACGGGAAGGGTGGGAGAGAGTTTGGGATGCGTAGGAAGGAAGGGTGGACGCAAACGGTGCCAGGCAGCAGAGGGCAAAGGCAGGCTGTCCAGGCAGCGTTATCCGTCGCCCCGCCGGCAGGTGCCCGGGGGCATCGGGAAGGGCGAGCGTCCGAGCGCCCGTGCGGGGCGCGGGGAAGCCGTGCGCTCTCCCGGGTCCTGCCACGAGTGCGCGCGCTCGGCGCGGCGGGGCGGGACGCAGAGCCAGGCGCACGATCGTCCACCCTCCATCGTGGCTGCGGCCGGTGACGTCAGGGGAGGGCGCGCGCAGGGCGGCTGCGGGCGGAGCCGGGAGGCGGGCGCTGCGCGCGGCCGCCAGCGCACGGGCGCGAGGGGCGGAGCAGCGCGCGGGAGGAGGCGGGGGAGGAGAGGCCCCCGGGACCGCGAGCGGCAGCTGGGGAGGGGGCCGCGGCACCGGAGCGGAGCGCGAGCGGAACAGCTGATCTGGTTTTTCTGTAAAGCGAGAGAAAATGGAAGTCGGGTAGCGGCGGCTTCGGTGCGGGGCCAGCGGAGCGCAGAGGCGCGCGTGCGGCAGGTGAGACGGCGCTGGCCGCGGTGCTGACGGCAGCGGCGGGGTCGGGGCCGCGAACCACACAGGTGCTCCGTGCGAGCGCGGGGCGCCGGGTCCCTCTGTGGCCCCGTGGCGAGACGGGTGGGCGCAGAGACCGGGTGGCCCTGGAGCGAGGGCGCGGGGGGGGGACAGGGGCGCCGGGGTCATGGGGTCCGCACTGGGATCGCCCGCGCGTCTGCATTGCAGGCTCTTCCCCGGACCCCGAGGGCTCCCGTGGCCACCGGCTCCAGCCCGGAGAGGAGCGCCTCTCCCGGACAGGGCGCGGCGCTCCGGCCGGATCGGGGCCGGCGGCTCCTCTGGGCCGCTTAGCTGTCCGCACTGGAACGTGAGGACAGGCGTGGGGGCACCGGCCCCTCTATGCGTGCGGACGTGCCCGGGGTCTCGCGAAGCCGGCTGATTCCCAGGCCCGGCCCGGCCCCGGAGCTGTGCGTGAGGCCGCCAGCCGGGCGTCCGGGCTGTGGCTGCGTGGGCCACCGCGGCCCACAGCACTGCTCCCTCGCTCGCTCGCTCGCTCGCTCCGCTGGGTCTGGCTGGACAGCAGGCAAACCGTTCGTGCAGTTTGGCTGTGAACCCCGGAGGCCTTCCCTAGCGTCTTCTCCTGGAGGAGGAAAAAAAAATCGCATCGACTGTGCTTTAAATGCTCCTTTAAATTGGGGAAATGTCAGTGACGTCATCATTAACAAAAACTTTCCTTCATTGGACACAACCGCTCTCGCGTCCCCTCCCCTCCTCCCTGGGTAGCGGTTGCAGCCCTTGGAGAAGCCTTGCCTTCCGTCGGATCGGCTCCCTGCCCGCTGAGCTCCAGCACCTCGCACAAGTGCGGCGCGTTTTCTTTTTTTATTTACGGGCTGGGGATGGATCGATGTGAGGGGAGCCGGAGGGAAACTTGTCGGCTCCTGGCGGATCTGGGAGCTGCTTCAGCCACAGCACAAGGGCCCAGGGACAGTCATGCATGACCCTGTCGCCGCAGGCCTGGGATTTGTAAATGACAGTGGGTCGTCGGGAGCCGGGGAAAAACATTGTAAAGATAGTGTACTGGGTGGGGCAGGTGATGTGTCCAGGAAGAGGTGGACAGTGTCGCCCACATTTCACAGGCCTTGGCGGCTTCAGGGAAACCTCTAGCTCTCCTTCCTTCTCATCGCCCTCCCCCCCACCACAAGCCCCCAGGATGTATCTGGGAACAGCCTGCCCCGAAAAAAGGGGTGGCAGCTTTTCTGTGTCTGTTCTTAAGTTCACACATTTATTTCTTTATTTGTTAATCCTCAGCCGAGGATATTTTTCTGTTGGTTTTTGGAGAGAGTAGAAGGGAAGGGAGGGGGAGATGGGTTGCCTCCCCCACCCACCCCGACCAGGGCTAGGGATTGAGTCTGTAACCTTGACTGGAATCAAACCCGGGATCCTCAGTCCACAGGCTGATGCTCTATCCACTGACCCACACCAGCCGGCACTTCTCTGGGGTTTTTGTGTCCTCACCACAGTAGCTGTGTGTCCCACCAGCGTCCAAGGCCAATTCAACACCCACAGAGGGCAGAGAGCGAGCAGGGCCCGCAGTGCTCCCTACAGCACCCCCCTAAATGTGGGGAGCTGGCCATCATGATGGTGCCTATGGGTGATCCATTAGTGCCGACCATCATGAGAACAAAAGTAAGCAGGTTCCCAAGGCAGTCTGAATGCCTGCTTCAGCCTGTCATTTCTCAGGGCTGCTCCATAAGGGACAAGAATATTGACATTTTTGTATTTAATAATGAATGACCACTCCCCGTTGGTTAAAATACGCTTGCCTTGCCCGGCCACTGTGGCTCAGTGGTTGAGCATCAGCTTACGAACCAGGAGGTCACAATTCAATCCCCGGTCAGGGCACATGCCCGGGTTGGGGGCTCGATCCCCAGTGTGGGGCTTGCAGGAGGCAGCCAGCTGACCCATGATTCTTTCTCGTCATTGATGTTTCTATCTCTCTCTCCCTCTCCCTTCCTCTCCGAAATCAATAAAAATATATAAAAGTAATAATGAAATATGCATGCCTTCCATCACCAGAGTAGCACGCGGGTCTGTAAGGAATGCAATACCACCTGCCACGCAGAAGTTAGAGTCTGGTCAGGGACGCGCAACGCTCGACTCCTGGATGGGCGTGAGGGGGCAGGAAAGCTGTGGTTTACCACAGGCCCGTGGCATTCAGAGTGCCCATGGGTAGAAGCTGTTGCTTTTTACAAATATATATATTTTTTTATGGTACATGCCCTTGACCAGAATTGAACCCGGGACCTGTCAGACCACAGGCCGACGCTCTATCCATTGAGCCACACCAGCCAGGGTGAATCCATTGCTTTATGGAGTCTTGCCGGGTCTGGTTCTCAACTGGATTCTGTGTGGCAGGTGTGCCCGTGAGGGAGGGACTGCTGAGGCCCTCGGCCCTGGTGGGGGCGGCACTGGAGTTGGGGAGACACTGAACCCTGTGTTCGCCTCGTGGAGGAGGGGGAGGCACCACCTCTGAGGCAGGCAGGGTGTCCAGGTGCCTCCCCTCTTGAAGGTGCCACATGTGTCTGCCATGGCCATGCTGGGGAGGCGGGCCTGGTAGCAGAACTGTCTCCGATGTGTGCCTTTTTGGTGACTTTGCCCTGTGGAGTGTTTGTTTGTTGTTTGTTTTTTAATCCTCA